AAAATTAAAAGAAAATACTCTCTATATGCTTTTAAAGCATGTATGCAACACAGATTCCAGACTGTAACTTGTTTGACAGTTGTGCTTATGTGAAAGCTGTATATGAATCCAAAACAAAGGAATACTATGTGGTTTAAAAATCAGAAAAAGTGCATCAGCATGAAACTCTGTTTCATATGCTTTGGACATGTTCTTAAAAGGGGCTAGTCCTTGAAGACAGACATCTTGCCTGGAAAGGTGGAGGTCAGCATAAGAGAAGAAAACCCACAGCAAGATGAATTGACATGGTGACTGTAACAATGGGCTCAAGTGCTTCTGACATGGTGAGGATGGCACAAGGTGGGACAGAGTTCAGATCAGCTGTTCATAGGGTTGCTATGAGTTGTGGTTGACTCCACGGCATATAGTAACAATGGCAACAAGTCAATTTTTATTCTGAACAAATGATCTGAAAAGCTGAGCTGTTTGAAGATTATGGCCTCAAGATTGGAGGAAGACTTGTCAATGATCTGTAATATGCAGATGGCACAATCATGCTTGCAGAAGGTGAAGAAGACTTGAAGCACTCTTTAAAAGGGTAAAAGCCTACAGCCTTCAGTATGGACTACATGTCAACATAAAAAAGCCAAAAATCCTCCACATTGAACCAATAGGCAGCATCATGATAGATGGAGAAAAAATTGAAGTTGTCAACAATTTCATTTTACTTGGGTCCACAATCAATCAACACCCATGGAAACGGCAGTTAAGAAATCAAACAACCAGTGCAACAATGAATGAATGAATGAATGAAAATCCAAAATCTCTGTAAATGTTCATTAAAACTAATAAAATTTAATAATAATAATTAAAAAACCTCAAAAAAAAAAGAAATCAAACAACATATTGCATAGGGCAAAACTGCTGTCAAGTACTTCTTTGAAATGTATGAGAGCACAGATGTTGGAGCTCTGGTGGTTTAATGTTAAAGAATTGTGCTGCCAACCCAGAGACAAGTAATTCAGGTCCACCAGCTGCCCCGCAGAGGGGAATGGGCAGTCTCCTCCCTCGTGATTTGCATTCTCTGAAAGCCTTCTAGAGTCAGCTGTAAGTCATTTCCAACTCAGCAGCACATAGCAACAGTAACAAGTATAAATTTATAAATGCAATGACAGTTTAAAGACTAAGGTATGTTGGACCCAAGCGATGGTATTTTTAAGCTTCTTATGCCTGTGAAATGAATAAGGGAGATTAAAGAACTGATGCCTTTTCTTTGTGGTATTAGGAAGAGTCTTGACTATACCATGATCTGCCAAAAGAACAACTGTGTCATGGAAGAAATGCAGCCAGAATCCTCCTTAGAGGTGAAGATGATAAGACTTCTTATATATTTTGGGCATGCTGTTAGAAAGGGACAGTCTCTGGAAAGAGACCTAGAGTTTGGAAGGGTAAAAGATTGGCGAAGGAGAGGAAGGCTGTTGATGAGATGGACTGACACAGTGTTGGCAACAATGGGCTGACACATAGCAAAGATTGGCAGGAAGGTGCAGTCAGTCAGGGTGTCAGTGTGTGGTATATAGTGTTGCTATGAGTCAAAGTTGAGATTGTTAACAGCTCTAATTTGCTTGGCTCCCCAGTCAGCTCTCTTGGCACCAGCAGCCAGGAAATGAAAAGATGAATTGCATTGGGAAAATCTGCTGTCGGGGACCTCTCCAGGGTACTGAAGAGCAGTGGTGTCAGTCTGGAAACTAAGGTGTGCCCAATACAGGACATAATCTTCACAATTACTTGCTATGTGCCAGAGAGCTAAATGACTAAGGATGACAGAAAAGTTGATACCTTTGAGCTGTGGTGCTGGAGAAGAGTATTTTCAGTATATTGTGGATTGCTAAGAGAACAAACAGGTCTGTCCTGAAGAAAGCAAAACCAGACTGCTCCTTGGAAGCAAGGATTCTGAAGCTCCATCTGACATACTTTGGGCATGTTGCAAGGAAGGACCTGTCCCTTGGAGAGGGACATCATGCTTGGAAGGGTGGAGAAACAATGCAAGAAAGGAAAACCCTGAATGAGATGGATTGACTCAGTGACTGAGGTAATGAGGGTAGGCATGTCAGAGACAATGAAATTGGCTCAAGATAGAGTAGGGTTCAGAGCTGTTGTATGTATGGTCGCTATGAGTTGCAGGCGACTCCACAACACATCACAACAACAACTAATACTTGACAGCCCAGCACAACTCAGAAACTGAGCTAGGCACTTCCAGGATAGTTACAGCCGAGGGTGAAAACATTGCTGTGTGGTGGGATGCCTGCCTTCCACTAAGCAAGCTCTGTTAAAGGAAGGCAGCACTCATCAGCTAGTTGGAGCCTCGGATCACAAGGGTTCAGGAAAGCCAGAGTGTCAGAAGGACTCGTCTGGGCCTGTGTGAGGAAAACTCTCAATCACTCTTCAGGAGGAATGCCCGAATCAGAGCTGAAGGACAGGGCCTTCAGGACAGGGCCTTGTGGAAGCTCCAGGGAGGTAGAGGAGTTTGACAAAGCCAGCCTAAAAGAATTCCATTTTATTACCTGAGAATGTGGAACATTCTTGTTCTAAACTCCTGGTGGAGGAATTCCTGGTGGAGGGGGAAACTCTCACCTCCTCAGTGAGGCAGCATCTGTATCATGGATCACTTGATGGTTCTTTCCATGTTTACTCTACGTGGGGAGCTACCTGAAAGCATCGGGAAAATTCTGCATCAATAATGAGTTGAGAATATGCCAAGAGGAGCGAGTCATGTTCAAAGCAAGCTGGAGGGTCAGACTCTGCTTTGACTCTCTCCTGCAGCTATAATTTCAATTAACAAAACATTTTGCTATTTTTCAGAGACTTTGGCAGCACTTCTGCCCAAAGGAAGAAAGGCAATATTCCCTTTATGTTTGAAAAGCACGCTGCAGAAGAAAGCAGAGTAGTGTTGTTGAAAGAAGCACAGGATTTAGTGTCCAAACACAGAGGTTTTCAGTCTGGTTCTGTCACTTATTAGTAATTAGTCTTGGCAAGACATTAAATTTTCCAAACCTTCGTTTTCTGATGGGTGGTTCCACAGTGTCCCTTTCAACAAGAAATAATGCAAAAATGCTTTACAAAAACATAGGCTGTGGCTTGTACCATATGAGTTTGGGGGCCTCTAATAACTTCAGTGCATATCCATTGTCTAAAGTGATTGAGTTAACTTTTCAAAATGTGGTTCTTATAAAAGCTCAGTGTCTGCCTGCCCTTTAAAGTATCCATCTGGTTTCCACAGGCTCATGGGCCTTCTGCTCCCTTGAGAGCCATCCCAGCTGTAGGAGACAATGTGATTCTTCTAGTCACTCAGCCCAAGAGACCAGAGCCACCTTGTTCCAAATGTAATCAGAATCCCGGAGCTCTATTCATGTCATGGTTAAGCTGGCTGAAAGGTCATCAGTTTGAACATCTCTGAGGCAGAAAACACATGAGGTAGCTCTGCTCTGTCATACACACTCATGATGGGTCAGAATCCATAGCACATAACAACTTTCAAAATAGAACCACAGTCTGCCCACGTTTCACCTCACTGGTCTCAACTGCCAGGATGATTGTGATTCTTTACACAACGGAGAGCACACCCTTCAAGACAAAATCAGATCATATCAGTCCGCTCGTTCAAAACTCACTGGTGGCTCTGCTTCCCACAAGGAACAGACCGTGACCATGAGCTCTTTGAAATCTGGTTCTGCCGAGGTTACTGGGCTCATCTCCTGCCTTCACCTGCTTGCTCCAGTCGCACTGGCCATTTTCCTTTTCCTGACGGAAGCTAAGCCCACTCATACCTCTGGAGTGTGAAAATGCTGGTCCTTCTTGAGGTCCTTGGGTGACATACACAGTTTGTACTCCATGGCTAACCTATAAGGTTGTCAGTTCAAACCCACCCAGCAATGCCATGGGAAAAGTCCTGACAATTTTCCATGAAGAAAACGCCTATGGAGTTGGAGTTCTACTCTGTGACATAGGGGGTTTCCCCAAGTTCTGTCGGCTCTGTTGCAGTGGCTTTGCTGTGAGCTTTTTTACTCCTTCTTGCTGACAGTGTTCTTTTCCCTGAACCCACACACTCACTTCCTCTGTTTCTTCAGGGCTCTGCTCAGGTGGCACGTGATTCAGCTATTGTTGTTGTTGTGTACCGTAGAGTCGGAACAGACCCATAGCTGACCCTCCAGCGGGTTTGTAGAGGCATTTAATAGCATGGGAGGAGATTGTTCATCCTTCTCCTGCAGAGAAGCTGATGGCCTTTGGGATTGCAGCACAGCTTCTTGTCACCAGGCCACCAGAGCTATAAAATCTAAAATAACAAGCCCTCTCTCCCCAGCATCTAACACATACAACTCCCTTCCTCCTTACCTGCCTTTATTTATCTCTAACTTGACATTTCATGCATTTGTCTTCTATTATTTCTTCTACTCACCACCCTTCCAAATGTAAGAGTCATAAAAGGATGAAGACACAACATATACGAACTCTGTAAACAAACCAATATATTTTTTTAAATAATATTTTTTTTTAAAGAGAGTCCCAAAAGGAGACACTATTATATCCCCAGAGCCTAGAACAGTCTCTAGTAGGGACTCAGTAAATAATTATTGGTTGAATGAATTAATTACTGAAGTGTAATACATACACACTTACCTACACAAATAAGCAGGTAAGTAGATGAGTGGTATTAAAGTAATAACAATAAAGCTGATTCCCCCCAATAACTATTTCTTCTCTCTCCCTTTGTAAATTGCCTATTTGCAAGGCGCCTTGTTCATCTTCTTCCCTGTGGGGTGCATGAAATAATTTTAGTTGTATGTGTTCTGTAGATATTCAAAACCTTGGCTTATAGACTTGTTTTCTGTTTTGAAATGAGTACATTAAGGTAAGGTTCTGTTTTCACTTAAGATGAATTGTTTTTAAAGATTGAATGGATCGCTAGTGTATGAGTCACTTTTCTTCCTCTACTTCTGTAATTCCACTTTGTTTCTCAGAATTAGATTCGTGTGCTTTGGGCGACCACGGCTGTGAACACTCATGTGTAAGCAGTGGAGAGTCTTTCGTGTGCCGATGCTTTGAAGGATATGTCCTCCGTGAAGATGGAAAAACCTGCAGAAGTAAGTTGTTACTGGAGATGGCGCATATTACTTTGTGGGACCACTACTTAAATCTGCTATCCTGAGAGTAAGCCCCAAAGCCACACCATCAACTCATAGAACTTGGCTAGTGGAACAACTCCAGAGCCTTGGGCCCTGGTAGCTCAGTGGTAAGGCATTATACTGTCAATGCAGAAGTATGTGGTTGGAGACTACCAGCTACTCTGAGGGACAAGGATGAGCAATCTCCTCACATGTGATTAACTGCCTCTGAAAACCAACTGGAAGAGGGTCAACCCTGACTCAGTGGTACACAACAACAACAACAGTCTTTACAGGAACAGATTACCACTTTTTTTTTCTCCTGTGGAGTGGCCTGGTGGGTTCAAACCCAGACTTTTTTGGTTAGCAGTCAAGCACTTAACCACTATGCCACTAGGACTTCTTAGGAGACAGTCAGTCAGTTACCTTCAAAAGCAAATGCCACGTGATGACTACATGTTATGTATGATCCTAGGTGATTTCTTGGAACAATAAAAAGACATTGCACAAAAATAAAGAAAATCTAAATAAGCTATGACTTTAGTTAGGTTCCCCCCGACCTGAGTTAGCTGTTAATAATGTATCACTATTGGTTCATCTGGTAGCCTAATGGTAAGAAAGTGTGTTACAATCCCAAAGGCATGTGGTTTGAGTCCACCAGCTGTTCCACCGGAGAAGGATGGGAAAATCTCCTGTGCGATTTACTGCCTCTGAAAACCTGCTGCAGGGTCAGCTGTGAGTCAGTTCTTACTTGATAACACACAACAGTTGGTTTGCTGAGCTTTGATGGCCTGGTGGTAAGGAGCTGTGCTGCCAACCTGAAGGGGGAAAATGGACCTTCTCCTCCTGTACAGTTTACTGCCTCTGAAAGCCTGCTGGCGGGTCAGCCGTGGGCTGGTTCTGACTCAGCAGTACATGACAGCATAACAGGGGTCATTGGGAGGGAGCTCTGGGGTTGTGGTCCACAGAGGGTTGGGCTGCTAACCCACCAGTTCTAATCTGTGCCTTTTGTAGCCTCAGAAAACTCACTGGCAGGGAGCTAGGAGTCAGTGCCAACTTGACGGCAGTGATATTTGGTTCATTAATTATAACAAACACATCATGCACATATTAAGGTGTTAAGGCCTCTTAGGTGATTAGTAACACCAGAGAGGTGCTCAATGCTTAGAATAACCGACTATAGCTTCAAAAGGGCAGCATGTGTCCAGAGATAGAGCTCAGAAAGCTGGAAGGGGTCGGATAGAGGATTAATGGAGATGAGTCTACAGGGAGGAAGCTGGACTATGTGGTTCCATTGTGTGTATTGTAATTAATGTTATAAAACAAAATGTGTGGGAATGGAAAACCAGTTTGCTTTCTAAACTTTTACTCAAATCATGGGAAAAAAAATTAATTTTTTTGTTGTTTGAGGAAAAAAATAGTAGAGGAAATGGTAGAGGAGGATTTTGAAAATCTTGGCATTATCTTCTTACTTTTTCTGTAAATATGAAGCATGCTAATGAATAAAATCTGTTTAAGGGGGAAAAAATCCAACAAAATACCAAGTGAACAGAAAAAGTCCATGCCTGAGCCACAACTGAAGTTGGTAATTCATGCTCTGGAGCAGGAAACAGCGGTTCAGCAGTGCACTCTAGTCGAGAGAGGGCTAATCTTTTTGAAAGCCAAGATTTTAACATCTGTGCATGTTGTATACTTACTGGGAAAGTTGCTGAGTTTCTCTGAGCCTCTGTTTATTTATTTTTAAGAATATTATGGCGGTGTTGGACTTCTGGTGGCATCATGGAGGCCATCTCAGATGAAGCCATTCTTAATATTGTATAATGAAAGTTTCTCAGATGAAGCCAAGAGAAACCTGCTCTCCTCCAGCAGCCTTTGAATCCCAAGTGGGGGAAAGGGGGGAAGCCATAGTCAAACCCAAAACACATCTCTGTACAGCAAAGGGTAGCATGTCTCCCCAGGCTCATAGCTTTCATCCCTACTAACAGTGTTTTCTACAGTCTTCTCAAAGAACTTGCAAAGAGCCACTCACATTGACACGTTGAAGGGAAGCTGTAACTGCAATTACTCCTCTCATTTTTCAGACAGGAAAGCTAAGACTCCAAGAGATTAAGTGATTCTCCTAAGTCATATATTATGTCAGGGGCAAAGCCAACATTAGATTTCAGTTCCACTAATCTAAATTGATGTCTAATCTCCTAAGTAATCATTCCAGCAGTGTTTCCATTTCGATATGAGAGACTCCTTGTGTAGAATGCCGATGATGGATTGCAGTTTTAGAAAACATTGAAGTAAGTGGTGGTGACTGATGGGGCTGCTGAGAGTGAGAAGAATGTGAAGAGTTAGCTCGAATTAGAGCCACTTCACCCTCCATTTTACTTTCTGCCCCATATATCACTGAGCTCACGTGCACTAGAGTCCAGTGGCTGAGACGGATGGACCCTCCAAAGTGAAACCCATGTAAAATTGATGTGGGTGAAATGGTTTAAACTTGCTCCCTTGTCCTCAGGGAAAGATGTCTGCCAAGCAGTAGACCATGGCTGTGAACACGTTTGTGTGAATAGTGATGACTCCTACATCTGCAAGTGCTTGGAGGGATTCCGGCTTGCTGAAGATGGAAAACACTGCAAAAGTAAGTTGCTTCAGGGTGGATAAGAACGTTTTTCCATCTGTGGGGTCCACAGAGTTACAGAGCTTCATTTCATCTTTCAAATCTTTATTACTAAAACCACAGATGGCAGGCCCTGCCTTGAGTGCTCTGTGAGTGTTCTGTGAGGGATCAGTTCGCTCAGCTCCTCGTTCTTTAGGAATTTCTCTAGTTGTCAGACTCTCTGCCTTTTTTCTTTGTCTCTTGGTAGAGGAAGCCCTGGATGGCACAGATGGTTAAGTGGTTGCCCTTTAACCCAAAGGTTGGTGGTTTGAATCTATACAGTAGTCACCTCAGCAGAAAGATCTAGACTCTTCTTCTGAAAGGTCACAGCCACTGGAAACCCCCTGGGGTACAGCTCTACTTTAAAACACATGGGGTTGCCTTGAGTCAGACTGACTGGAGAGCTACTGGTATCATTTTGGAGATGAGGATATTGGACCTTCCCTGATACGTGTGTGCCTAGCTTGCCGCTGGGCTGAATTAGACTTTCTACCAGCACTCACTGGATTGGAATGAATGCTAATTTAGTTGAGAGGCAAATGAAGGACAATATTTAGTTTTTGATAAAAGATATATAGTACTTAGAGGTTGAAAGAGACATAGATATACTAGTTCAGTGAGATAGACAGAAGAGCACAGGGCAGTGTTTTTTTCTCCTCTGTGAAACTCAACCCTGTACGGGTTTTGACATTGTCTGCTTGACATTGCAACGTGCTACCCTGGCAGGTTAAAAGGCCCATGTTAATTAAGGCAAAGTTAATTCATTTGCCTTGTAGCTTGATTCTGGGAAATTTCCTCACAGATTCCTTTGAGATAACAAAGTTGAACTGGACAAGACTTTGCCTCACTTTTCAGGAAGAAGGGCTCCTGCCTTTAGCTAAGAGTTTCGTTTGAACAGCTGGTGCTTGGACTGTCCATGGCACCCTACACAATTCTGTACTTTCACGAAACAATTTTGTTGTTGTTGTTGTTGTTGGTAGGTGCCGTTGAGCAGAGTGTGACCCACAGCCACCCTATGAACAACAGTTCTGAACTGTGTCCTATCGCGTGCCAACCTCACAGTCTCTGACACACTAGAGCCCATTGCTGGAGTCACTGTGTCAATCAGCCTGGTTGAGGATCTTCCTCTCCTTCACCGTCCCTCCACCTTTCTAAGCATGGTGTCCTTCTGCAAGGAATAACCTTTTCTAGAAACATGCCTAAAGTATGCAAGACAGAGCTCCCAGGGAGCACTCTGGCTTCACTTTCTCTAAACAGTTAGTGTTGTTGTGTACCATCGAGTTGGAACCAACCCATAGCTGAGCGCCCTGGCGGGTTTTCAGAGACAGTTAATCCCAGGGGAGGAAATTGCCGATTCTCCTCCTGCCAAACAGCTGGTGGGTTCGAACTGCTGCCTTCAGGATTGGTCAAAGTTACTATATAAACTCTCACCAAAAACAAAATAAAATGTTACTTAAACATTCTACTTTTTGCCTTCACATGGTAGCTCCTTTCTTTAGAGAGACCAGTCTACAATCTGCCCATTTTGTCTGCCTGAACAGTTTATTAATCATTTTAATTCTATCAAAATGTCTATTACCCACACTCCAACTATTCATTCAGCATGTTTCTTGCTTAATAAACTAAGCTGTTTTATACAAGGTGTACCTTCAACTTCTAGAATGTGATTGCTAAAGCAAACTACCATTCTCACCTCCTACATGGACCTGTAGTCATTTTTTTCCATTTAGAAAGATGCTTATCCTTTTACAAGGTAAGGATGGAAAAGCAGCTAGGTTGTCGAGACATGAAAAAGGAAAGAGACTGAGTCAGTGCTCAGGAAACATGGTGTCTCGGCTGTGTCGTCAGCTTGTTGCTGACCTTGGTCAACTCAGTAAAAGTCCTGTTTCTTAATTTATAAGCTGGGTATAATTACCCCTGCATCCCTCCCTTCACAGGATGTTGTGAGGGTTAAAGCGCTGTAACTCCTTTGAAGAGTTTAAAGAACCTCACACATGAGAAATGTTCATTAGGCCATGAACACTAGAGTGTTTGGGATATCTGTGGAAAAAAGATCAGCAGCTTGAGAGAATCAAAACACCAAGCACATCTGGCTATTCTAAAAATAACAATGAATCCAGGTCACCCTGTGACCCATCTAATTCTTTAGGCTTGTGGGAGTGAGAGCTTTCTGAGTGGGGCATTTTATCAAGGCCCAGCCTGGCTGTAAAAGAAAGTATCATAAAGAAAATGTTAACAGAGATAGTTTAAAAAAAAATATGATTACTTCCATGAGCTATCCTTACGTGACTCTTCAGTCTAACTCATTTCTACACTAGTTCAACTTCCTATGTTTTCCTCAGGGAAGGATGTCTGCAAGTCGACACACCACGGCTGTGAACACACTTGTGTTAACAATGGCGATTCGTACATCTGCAAATGCTCACGGGGATTTGTTCTTGCCGAGGATGGGAGACAGTGCAAGAGTAAGTGATCTAAATTTGGCTCGTTGTTTTAACTTAGTTTCGCAGCAACTGCTTTTTGGTGTATTTTCAGGGAACAAATCCCTCCTTTGTTTCTCCTATGAATAGAAATGAGTGTGTATGAATACAGAATGGAAAAGCAACAACTGCAGCATCTGTGGAAATAACCTTCTGGCTTTAGTAGACAGTAAGTTCATTATCAGCCAAAAGGCTACAGCAATCCTAGGATGAATAGGAATATCTGGAAGGAGGGTGTTGTGAATCACGCTCTGATCCTTCTGAGCATTACACTTTAGAAAGAAAGGGATGGACCAAAGGTTTAAACACAGCCACAAAAGTAGCAGGAGAATCTTGAGTGAATTATAATCTCAGAGTAGAGACTTTTCTGAGCTTGAAAAGAAATAAAAGTCATAAGGGAACAAAAGTGAGGTGGGAAATGTTGTTGTTGTTGTTGTTGTTAAAGTGCTGTCGTCTCATAGACGACTCATAGCGACCCTATGAATGAAAGACCTGAACACTTGTATAACTTTCTTCATTTCTCCATGTTCATAGAGTTTCCGGAGGCAAGCTGTTTCGGAAGTGGATGCCACTCCTACTTCCAAGCTTGTTTTAATTGGGGAGCTCCACCAAACACTGTCCACCATCGGTAAACAATATCACAATGAACACATCAGTGTCACAGTGTTTAGCATTACAGCAACCAGAAGTTACCTCTGTACAGCAAACGGACAGACTAGTGCTATACCACCTAGAAGAATGTTTGACCAAAAACATTTAAAACCAGGCCTGAGGACCACAGATTAAAATCACCCACCTTTAGCTTGGTAGCATCACTTTGTATCCACTAGGTTAAGAAATTAAAGCTGAAATTTGTTTTGTTTTGACCTATCATTTTTCAGAGACCAAAGTATGTGATGATGTCTTTTGCTGGCTATGATACATTGTAATAGGAAATTACAGATAATCAGTGGGCATTCGAATTGGTAAACTTTGGGAAGGCAGTTTGGCAGTATTTCAGACACAGTTGTACCTCATGGAATTTGTCTTACAGATACGTGCTTATGTACAAAATGGTATTATCAAGGGTATTGGGTAGCTGGGGGTGAAAGGAAATAAGATAAATGGTCATCATAAGAGATTTGTTAAATAAAGTATGATAAAATAGAATATTATGTAGCTGTTAAAAGCATGCAGCAGTCATAAATGTATTCAAATGCAATTATTTCCAAGATATTTTAAGTATAAAAAGTGTGGTGCTGAATGGTTTATGCAGTATGTTACTGGATTAATTTTCTAAAGGTGCTATAACAAATTTCCACAAACTGTGTGGCTTAAAACAGCTATAATTCTTCTTTTATTCTATAGGCTAAGAGTCTTAAGTCAAGGTGTTGACAGAACTCTGCTGTTTAAATGTTCTTGGGGAAAGTCTGTTCAATATCTTTTCTTATATTTTCGTGTTGCTGGCAATGCACGGTATCTTCTGACCCCCATGCTTGTCATCTTGTGGTGTTCTTCAGGTGTCTCTGTCTCTTTTCATCTTTTTGTAAGGACACCAGTCATGTTGGACCAGGGCCTATCCTAAAGAATGGCCTCATCTTAACTTGGTAATGCACAGGACATAAAAGAAAGGCACAGGAAGGGTTGTGAGCAACAACAATTTCTGCTTTTATCTTTATGCTTGGCTTATCAAATTGATAAAAAAAATGTGCTTGACATAAACACAGTCACATAACAGATGTGGAAGTTGTCTAGAAGACAAGGTACATGTTGTGTACTTTGGTGACCGGTAGTGCTGTCTCAGAGGGACCATATGCAGAGGATGCTGAAAGGTCTAGCAACACACAAAAGATTCCCATGATGTTGTACATCAGCACCAGGACCACAGTGCCAACATCTGACAGAAAACAGACAGACTTAAAATTCAGTGCAATCTTCCAAGAAGTTTCCCTACTAACCCAACATGCTGTCATTCCTCTGACTGCCCCAGCACTAAACATTTCTGCAACAAAAGTTTATTTACTGAGTACTGGTCTTGTGCAAGGCAGTGGGCATAGCAAGCTTATAAGAGTCTGAAGCAAAATCCCTGGCATCAAGTTGATCCTAGTCAGGTAACTATGCAATGCAGTCCTCCCTCCACACTGCACGTTGTATTGTTAGGTGCCACTGAGCTGAGTATGGCTCACAGCCACCCTGTGAACCCTGTCCTAGTCTGTGCCATCCTGACACATTTGAGCCCATTGCTGCTGTCACCACGACAGTCCACCTCACTGAGGGTTACGCTCTCCTTCACTGATTCCATGTTGCCTCTCCTAGCAACATGGCCAAAATATGTGAGATGAGGCTTCGCCATGCTTACCTCTATGGAGCACTCTGTCTGCCCTCTCTCCAAGACATATTTGTTTGTTCATTTGACAGTCCATGGGATGTTCAATATTCTTCTCCAACACCACAACTCAAAGGCATCAGTTCTTCTTCTGTCATCCATATTCATTGTCCACTTCTCAGTGCATAGCACGTGATTGAAAAGGCCATGCCCTGAATCAAGTTTGCCTGGTCTTCAAACTGACATCATTATTCCTCAGTAATTTAGAGAAGTCTCCGATAGCTGACTTTCCCAGTGCAATACATCTCCTGATCTCCTGGCTGCTGGTACCAAATGTGTTAATTGTGGATCCAAGTAAATAAAATTCTTGGCCAGTGGTTATGATTTGTGTCTTCTTCATGTTGCAATGCAATCCATATGGAAGGCTGCAGTTTGTGATCTGCAGCAAACATATCAAGTCTTCCCCAGTTTCAGCACGTAAGGTTGTGTCATCTGCATAATGCAGGTTGTTGATAAGTCTTGCTCTGATCCTGATGTCTCATTCTTCTTCATAAAGTCCAGCTTTTTGAATGTTTTGTTCAACATACAGGAGAGATAGTTTTGGAGGAAGGAAACAACCCTGACTTATACCTGCCTGATTTTAAGCCATGCAGTGTTCCCTTGCTCCCAGTGCCAGTTGGTATTCCGTCAAGTCCTGGGGCCTTATTTTGGCCAGTGCCCTCAGTGCAGCTTGAAATTCTTCCATCACTACCATTGACTCTTGCTCTTATGGTTCTTCCTGAATTTTTTCAATGTATTTATATATATCTTTTAAAGTCTCTTCATATCCAGATTGCTTAAGAATTTACATACAGTTTTTGTCTTTCTTTTACTGTCTACCATCTGAGTTGGTATTTTGTTTTGTCTTACTTTTGTGTTGCCCCATTGTACAGTCATTTTTTAATCACACACGTCTGAGCTGTAAAAGGGCACAGCCTTGGAAATCAGACAGAGCAGTTCTGCTCTGCACACCTGGGGTCACCATGAATAGGAATCGACTCAGCAGCGGTGAATGACATCATCCACCTCCTCTACTCTCTGAGTCCTTCCTTGGCAGGGAACATGTAGCCTTCATTTCTCTACCCCTCATCTCTGGATCCTGGGAGCTCTGATGGGATAGTCCACAGAGAGTTACACTGCTAACCTAAAGGTGGAGCTTCTCTGCCAGTTCAAATCTACCCGAGGCTCCATGAAAGAAGATGGAAAATCTACCTCCTTGCACTTCAGTCTCTGAAAACCCCCTGGTGGGTCAGCTATCAGTTATGACCCTCAGTGAGTTTGGGGTTTATTTTTAGTGTGTCTCTCTCTCCTCTCCCTCCTTTCTCCTCTCCCTCCTCTCTCCTCTCCTCTCCTCTCCTCTCCTCTCCTCTCTCCCCTTTCTCTCTCTCTCTCTCTCTCCATACCATCATGTGAAATCCATGTGTATAGTCTGCATTTATGTTTCTTGTAAGTAATAATAATTTGCAATGAATAGGTCATTGATTGTGCAGAATTCTATTATTCTGTCTTCAGCATTATTTCTGTCACCAAGTCCAGGTTTTCAGACTACTGATCCTTCTTCCTTGTTCCCAACTTTTGCATTCCAGTCACCCATTATTATTCGTGTTTTTTAAAAATTTTTTTATTATTATTATTAGTGTGTGTGTGTACCGTCAAATTGGATCTGACTGGTACAGGAGGAGATTGTCCCTCCTTCTCCAGCAGAGCATCTCGTGGACATTTTTATTAATGTATCTTAATTGTATGTTCAATCGACTTCCAACTGCAAAGACTAGTGGAAGTCTTCTATTTTCTCCACTTTGGCTGTAGTTGTTGGTGCATATATATGAATGATAGTGATGTTCACTAGACATCTTTGTATGTGTATGGATATTATCCTGTCACTCACGATGCTGTATTTCAAGATGCATCTAGGGAAGACTCCATTTTCCCTCATCTTTTCATCTCCGGTATAGTAGATGTTATGATCATCTGATTGAAAAACGCCCCAGGCCAATTCATCTCATTTTACCAATATCTAGTATGTGTGTCAGTATTCCATTTCTTTCTTAACAATGTCTAATTTTCCTACGTTCATGCTTCTCACATTCCACATTCCATTCACTGCTTATAGCCGTTCCTCCTCCTTTGTGGTTCCATATTTGAGGGCTCAGCCTCAGTTGCCGTATCTACTAGTCTCCTCTAAGTGTGCTCTGTTGTACATAGGGTTTTCGAAGGCCTGTTAAGGCCTAAGTGGATGATGGCCAGTCCTTCTTCCTGGTTCATCTTAATGCAAATGCTCAGACTTAGAACAGTATTTGACAGACAAACATTTTACAGAAAGGAGCAGATGAAAGACATTTCCCAATCATAGAAGCAGCCAATAGATTCAGTGTCGCTCCCCACACTTGGCAAGTGTGTCTTGACCCATCCCTTTCCCGTTCCACCAGCAACCCTTTCCACTCCTGGCTACCCCGTTCAACACCTCCCTCTTCCCATCTAGCCCTTGATATGCTTGGAAGGATGGAGGGACAGCAGAGGAGGGAACGACCTTCGATGAGAAGGATTGACTCAGTGACTGCTTAATGGGGGTAGATGTGTCAGAGACAATAAGGTTGTCTCAGGATACAGCAGGGTTCAGAGCTGTTGTTGTACATTGGGT